TTCAACTGGAAAAGAAGAAAAATTCTTTAAAATAAATGAAATTTGTTTTCCTTCCCATTAGTCTAGTTCTGCCCATTGGCATTACCTGGATCAAGTCGAATGACCAATGGGCAGAGCTAGACTAATGGGAAGGAAAACAGATTTGAAAAGTCTAATGACTTCTTCAGGTATTTGAAACCAGAAATCATATACGACCTCTCTTAATGTCTGTATGTCTTAATAATTCCTCATGGATGTAGGAACCAGCCTTTTCCGGGTTTAGGTCCCTGTGGTCTCTGTTCAGTTCTCTGGTTGATCAATGGTACTCCAAGAACAAATATAAACAACTTGATTCTGCAGCTGATTCTCCACATTGCAGAGCTGCAGACATCTGCATAACTTCAAAATCGCCTTATTTTGTAGCCTGTTCATGAGGCCAGAAATAGAGTTTGCTGCTAGTAAGGAGCCTGACACAATGATGTTGTGTTTAAAAATGTACTGAAGAAATGTGCAAATATATTCTACAGAGTAAGGTTCCACTAGAACTTAATATCATCCCAAAGAGAATGTTTTGCAGGAACATTCTCAATGATCAATTGAAGGATCCCTTTTGTGGGTTACCTGGGACCACTTCCCCCTGCCTTGGTGATGTTTCTGTTTGTTTTTCCATACTGACATTCTCAGAAGAAAATATACTGAAATTCAAAACTGCTAAAAAATATTTTATGTTATACTTTTAAGAAACCCTGGCTAGGCATGGTGGCTCATGTCTGTGATCTCAGTACTTTGGGATGCCAAGGTGGGCGGATTGCTTGAGCCCAGGAGTTTTAGACCCACCTGGGCAACACAGTGAGACCTCGTCTCCATTAAAAACAAACAAACAAGCAAAAAAACAGCTGGGAGTGATGGCACACTCCTGTAGTTCCAGCTACTCAGGAGGCTGAGGTGGGAGCCAAGATTGCACCACTGCTCTCCAGCACTCCAGCCTGGGTGACAGAGTGAGATCCCGTCTAAAAAAAAAAAAAAAAAAAAAGAAAGAAAAAAAACCCTCTAATGTGTGAAAAATCTGTATTAATAAAAAAAAATTAGGAAGTATTCATTCCCTGAGCCTGGCTGCTGTTGCCTGTGTGTTAATTTATAGATTTATTAATTACTTGACAGAGAAGGCAAAAGTACAAAATGTACAACTAAATTATGAGATATCAAGGTACCATTGTCAATTAAAAATCAAAAAAAGAAGTCATATTTTAGAGCGGAAAGGTCAATGTCAACATGGTCATTTCATAGAGGAGAAAACAGAGAGGTGAAGCCACTTGCACAGAGTCACACAGCTTTGCAGAGTAGGGTGGGGTAGGGCAGAGGAGTAGCTTGTCTCTTTCTGGCATGCTGCTGATACAACATCTCAGAGCTGGTGGCATTAATCAGAGGAAACAGAACTTTTGATTTAACCCCACTTTTCATGTACATCTATGATGCATTTCAACAACGAAGAAGCATCTTTTGTACTGTCTGCCAGACAGGGATCCTTACTATTGATATGTTTGAAAGTTAATTACATGGAGGAGTGAAGACGGCACACCCATCTCAGAGACTAACCACCGCAAATGACAAGCAAAAAAGACGGAGCCGTTACAGCGATCATGGTCGGGTTTATTTTTCCCAGACTACCATGTGGGGAGTTAAACATACCCACCCTCAGGTCGGGGACAGGCTCATGATGATGCTCAGGGTAGTGGTGGAGCCCCAGAAGCCTCCAATTTCCATTTTGGACCCATGGAGATCTCCAGGGTGCCTATCACTCTTGGCCCAGGCCTGGGTTTTCCAGGAACTTCCCTGATTGATGTTTTACTGAACATGGTGCCGAAAGTTAGTCACAGCAAGACATTATCTCAGCTGTCTCTGGGCAAATGCTCTCTGAAACCTCCACATTGCTTTTAAAGTATTATGGAGAAATGTAGCATTTATGCCTTGGGAGCTAGCTATCTATGCAGAGCTAAAATAGAAAATCTTCTCAAGTTGAGTGTAAACAGATCCTCAACAAGACTGAGACTCTTGTTGCTTGTGGATGTGTGGGGACTGGAGTCAGCTACATTATCACTTGTATTTTTCCTGCCCTTGGGTTGCTCTGTGGAAACCGTTTGATGCCTTCCACAGCTAATGCCCCTAAGGAAAGACCTTAGGCAGATATACACTGAAAGTATACTCATCTGTAGACAGCTGTGGGCAAGGATGCTGGAGTTTAGCATCTCTATTAACTCGCATAATAGTAAAAATGGGAAGCATTGTGCTAACATTTTATTTTTTAGAACAGCTGCAACTATCTAAATTATAATACAATCTTCACAATTTAACATTCAGATACAATTATGCAGAATGAAGTGCACCCATCTTAAGTGTACAGTTTGATGTGTTTTTGATAAATGCATATACTAGCATAGCCAACATCCCATCAAGATATAGAGCATTGCCATCACCCAAGAAAGTTCTTTATGCCTCTCCCTAGTCATTTGAAACTTTCCCTTCTCTACCCACTCTGGGCAGCCATGATTCTGATTTCTAGCTCTAGATCAATCTTGCCTGTTTTTGAGCTTTACATAAATGAGCTAATACAGTATATACTCTTTTGGCTTATACATTATGCTTTGGAGACTCATTTATGTTTTTGCATGGATTAGTAGTTCATTCCTTTTTACTACTAAGCAGTATCGCATTGAATGGATATATCATGATTTGTTTATCCATTCTCCTTTTGATTTACATTTGGATTGTTTTAGTTTTTGCTATTATGAACAAAGCACCTACTGACATTCCCATAGAGGTATTTTTGTGGAATTTTCATTTCTTTTGGGTAAATAGCTAGGGGTAGGCTTGCTGGATCTAAGTTAGTTGTATGTTTAACCTTATAAGAAACTGTCAAACAGTTTACATAACGCACTCTTAATGAACCTTATTACTTATGAAGTGAGGTCTTCTAAATTTTTTGTCTTTTGATTTTTGTCTTAAATTGCATCGATATTAGATGTGTGGACATTCTTCTGAAATATCTTAAGGATCAGACCTTGATTAACTGTGTCATTTTAGTAGATCTTTAATGCTTCTGAGTTGTTTATACAAACAGTTCAAAATCTGAATGACTCCCACTAGAAAACCAGAATGATCTCTTTCATGGATCTCTTCCATATTTTTATTGGTCTTCTTTAATGTTTTATACATACAAAAATATGTGGAACATGTGTTAGTTATTAAGCATAATTATAAAATGGAAATTTGTAAATCCATCACTCAATCCAAGAGTGAACACATTTCCAAATTACAGTGGAAACCCATATGCCTAGGAGCTTCTTATCCTATCCAAAGGAATTCACATCCTTCATTAATTCTTTTGCTAAAACAAAAGCAAAATAAAACAAAAATATTTATTATTTGAAGTAAGGGATTTCTATAACTTTTAAAGTTTTTCTTGCTTTTAAGAGCTTTATCAAAATGGTGTTATGCTGTGTGCGTTTTTGATACTTGTATATTTTTACTCAGTGTGTTTCAAAGATCTGCTCATGTTGTGTGGGGCTGTAGTTTATTCACTTTTGCTGCTAACATTCCTTTCTGTGAATATATCGCAATATATTGTATTACTTGATACTTGTCAGTTGTTAGTTGTGCTATTTCTCATATTTGCACTTGATGTATATGATATACATTACATTTTTTGGGGAGTCTGGTACATTTAGCAGAATAATTTGAGATGAAACTGTTATCAAGTAAACGGCATTTTTAAGAAATGAAAACAAGCAATCAGTTTCTGCTCCAAAAGAGGGAGAATCTATAAGATACCTGGGTAAAACGGTATAAAATAAAAAGTGTGGTGCATTGTCAGTGTGGGTGTAAAGCAAAGACTCCAATTAATTTTTGTCTACATGATTTTATTTCAAGGTTGAAAAACTAAGTTGGACTTGTGTATATAGAATATAATCACTGAAGAAATACAAATCACATCCTTTGTCCATGTGGTCAAGTTAGAGCCTAAAGACAACCTAAATTTTTGTTCTTTTTTTTTTTTTCCTAAATATTAAGCTATATAATGACACACCTCCCACTTCACTGTTTAAAATAACTTAGTATGATTGATTTCCAACTACTTCAGGAAAACACATTTAAAAAATTCACAAATGAAAATCATTTTATTAAAAAAACACACAAAAACAAATAAATCCTACAACCCCTACAAAAACCTGCATGTATTTAAAAATTCTATATACCTCTTTATGCTCTTGGGGACAAATAGGCATATTTATTACTAATACTAAAAATACATTGGGTAGTATTTGAAGATTTTATATTAGCACTAGCCTTTTAAAAATCAGCTCTAAATTTTTGTCTTACAAGTATGTATTAAAAATTCTGAAATCAAGTACAACGAAATTATATATCAGTATTTCTTTGCATTTAACTCCAGAGTGAATCTGTAGGAATCAAGACCAACCTCATGCAGAGAACTTCCTGAAGAAATATTTAAAAATTAGTAGACTGGACTTTAATTCTTCATGTGTGGTGTCTACTTTTTAAATAATACATTTTAAGTTTAAGATTCTAATACATTTCTTTCTCTGTTAAATCTAGGAACATCTAAAACTGAAACTCTTTGTTTAAAAATCAAGCTGAATTTCAGTTAAACAAAACCATCCCATTATATGAATAACTTTCTTAGGTAAAACAAGGTTTATTTTCCTTCTATACAACTGACTCTGAATTGAGCTAGAAATTTCCAAGGAGAAAAATGATCTAGGAAACAACTTTAGAAAAAAAGGGCTAAGTTTCCGTTATGATAGCTTTTGACTTGTTTTCAGCTCTTAATTTAAAAAATTATTTACGAACGATGGATACACGTTCTAATGCAGAAATCTTTTAAAATTAGAGAGTAATAAAAGAAACCTACTACCTTCGTTTACATCAGGTCCCCTCTTACCATTCTACCCGATTGTTTATGAGACAACCACTTCTTATCTCGACAATTCACAACTCTTTTATTAGCCATCCTAAAAAAATTTATTATTGACATCAATTAGCCTGAGTCATGAAATCGGACCACATTAAGGGCGACACATGGTCCAATTACTGTTTGTAAAAGTCCACGTATTTCAAATTCCTCTCTCCTGCCATTGCTGGGCTGTTTCCCTCTTTGAGGACCTGGTCTCCGCAGCATTTATTCATTAGATGGCAGTCCTAGGGAAGTCTCGCTTTGGGGAACCTCTCCTCCTGCACATTCAAGAAAACCACCGCGGAGAGTTAGGGTCGGTACTGGTTTCTAGTCACTTACGTAGCAAACGAAGCAAGAGGAACGTGCCCGGGAGGACTCAAGACAGGTGCGGGTGGGTTTCCGCAGTAGCCGCTGATCCCGAGTGCATGCCGCCTGTTCCCGGGTCGGGACCGCAGCCAAGGGAGGCTTCCCGGCCCCAGCCTCCACCCCCTTCTCGGGGCCCCGGACACGCCCCCCAGTTTCGGAGCCCCGCAGCGTGCACGCGCCCCGGCCGCTCCCCACAGCCGCCCACGTGGTGGAGCCCTGAGCCGCGCGAGGCCGCTGAGAGCGCTCAGGGCGGGCCGCTGGTCCGGGAGGCCCCGCCAGCGCGACCCAGCCGAGTCGGTCCCCAGCCCGGGCCCCCACATTTCCTCCCCCGGAGGGAGGGAGGCGACTCTCCGGGTGCTGCCCTCCCCGGCGCCCGCCGCGCCCTCTGGCGGCCGCCGCGGGGACGCGCCCTGGGCACGCGGGGCCGCCTGTCTGAGCCCCCCTTCCGGGGCGCGGGGCCCGACTGGGGGGCCGCGGGGTCCTGTCTCCTCGCGTCACTCCGGGCCGAGCCACGCGGGCCGCGCCCTTCCCCCTCCGCTCCCCGCAACTCCGGGCTCCCCGGTCTCAACGCCGCGGGTGCCCCAGCCTGGCGTGAAAGTGCCCGGCGTAGTAGCCTGGGGGGGGGTCTTCTTTTTCCCAGGTGCGCCCCTTCCGCCACGTTCGGGCTTTCCAGTACACAGCGAAAAAAATGCCGCATGCACGCACTTATTTATTTTGCAACAGCTGCAAAGAACAATGAAGCTTTTCAAGAACCAGGGAAACGCGCTTTCCAGCCGCGCTGTTGTTGTTTTCAATGAACCTCTCCCAGCACCGCACTCCCCGCCCACCCCTCCCCTCGCCTGCCCACCCCGCCCCTCGCCTGCCTACCCCTCCCCTTCCTAACCTTTCCCTGCCTACCCACCCCTGCCCCGCCGAGACAGGGTCGGCGGCGGGGGCATTGTTTTTGGAGTCGGGCGGGAGGGAAGGGCGCGTGCGGGGTGGCCGGCGCAGTGGTGCACTGGTGGGGGCGGGAGCGGGTGGGCACGCGCGCGTGTCTCTGTGCGCGCGCGGGAGTCGGCGGGGCGGGACATGGGGGCGGCGCCTTGCAGTCTCGCGCCCCACGCCTGGGCTCCGCTCCGCACGTCTCGGGGATCCCGGGCTCCGGTTTTTGGCTCGTGCCGGCCTGGGCCGGGCCCTCGGCGCGCCGCTGCTGCGGCGGTGGCCGCTCGAGTGTGCGAGCGGGCGCGTGTGCGCGGACCCGGGCGCGCGCGCGCGCGCGCGAGCCCCCAGTGTGTGGCGGCGGCGGCGGCGGCGCGGCGAGGCTGGGGCTCTTGTTTACCAGCATTAACTCCGCTGAGCGGAAAAAAAAAGGGAAAAAACCCGAGGAGGAGCGAGCGCACCAGGCGAACTCAAGAGAGGCGGGAGAGCTAGAGGGACGCCGCCAGCGAGCCTGCCCGCGGCCGGCGCTCGCAGACCCTCGGCCCCGCTCCCCGGACCCCCCCCCCGCGCTCTCCACGCCCCTCCCGCGCGGGGGCAGCTCCACGGCGCGCCTCGCCTCGGCTGTGACCTTCAGCGAGCCGGAGCCCCCGCGCAGAGCCGGCGGCGGCGGGCGGGGGCCGCGGGCGGGGCGGCGGCGCCGGAGCCGGCGCGCTGCGGCGGAAGTGCTGGCGCGGCGCGGCCGGGCCCGCCGCTTTGTGTTGTCCTGGATTCTGGGAAGGGAGCTCGCGGCGGCGGCGGCCGGCGCGGCGGCGCTGAGGGAGCGAGGCGGCGCGCCAGCGCGCGGAGGGAGGAGGAGGCAGGGGGAGCCGCTCCATGTTCATTTGGACTCCGGGTTTCTGCCCCTCCGCCGCCTCGCCTGCGACCCCGAACCTTGGGGCCGATCTTGCGAATGCGTCGCGCCTCCGCGGCGGAGGCTCGGGCGTCCGGCCACCTCCCGCGCCGGGCCGGGCCTTGTTTTTCCACTCGCCGCGAGAGATTTGGGCTTGCCCCCTTTCTTTGCCAGTTTTTCCCCTCCTGCCTCTCCTCCGGGTTTGAAAATGGAGGCCGACGACGCCGACAGCCCCGCCCCGGCGCGCCTCGAGTTGCCGATCCGCCGAGCCCTGGGCCGGCTGCTGCCGGCGCTGGGCCACCGCGCGCCGCCGTCCGCCGCACCCGGAGGGCCGGCGGCACCGCCTTCGGAGTATTGTTTCCTTTCGTCCTTGTTTTTGGAGGGGGGAGCGAAGACTGAGTTTGAGACTTGTTTCCTTTCCTTTCTTTTTTTTTTTTTCTTTTCTTTCTTTCTTTTTTTTTTTTTTTTTTTGAAGAAAAGGGAAATTTCCGTCCCAAATAAAAGGGAAGAAGTCTGGCTCTGGAGAAGGGTCCGCGACCTCGCTGTGGGGCTCCTGTTTCTCTCCGCCGCGCTCTCGCTCTGGACGAGAGTGGGAGAAAGTGAGTATGTGCCCGCCGCCCGCGCGCCTGCGGGAACTTTTCCTTCGAGGGGCTGCGCCCTGTTTGCGAAACCCGAGTTGCCACCGTCGCAGCTGTCGGGCCCCGGGCTCGGGAGCGGCGGGCGCGGGGTGGCTCTGCCGGGAGGAGGACCGGCGGACCTGGGATCCGGGCTCGTTCGTCTGGAGCCAGCGGGCCTGGCTCCCGCACATCCCCGTGCTGGAAGGCGGGGGGGCTTTCTCTCTAGCCGTGCAGACAGTCCTGTCCCCGGCTAGGCTCGAGGACTCGGTAGGGAAGTTGGTGCCGGGGCGGGCTCCGCGGGTTCCCAGGCCCTGCGACCCGACCTCGCCCCTCCGGATGCGCACGAGCCTCTCCGCACATAGCGCTGATCCCCTGCGGCGCGAAGGCAGCGGGGACTGCACCCTGGGCCGCACCGCGTCTCCGCTGCTGGGGCTGATCCGGCAGTGTGGAGCAGGCATCCGCCCGGCCCGCGGGGTGCGAGTTGCCCTTGAGGGGGGAGGTGCCCTGCGGAGAGGCCCCGAAGCCCCAGGACATGTCTCCAAGCGTCTGGCGCTGCCTCCAGTCGCCCAACATGCATTTCCCCTCGGGCTCCTAGGGTTCCTGGCCTTGCCCGTTACTTTGGCCCGCTCCTCGTTGGGTTACCTGTCCCTGGCGTCCCGGGGCTGGGCGGTGGGGTGAGGGGAAGCGCTCTCTGGGCAGCTCCCCGGGGAGTGCGAGGCCGGGAGTCTTCCTCAGCTTGTCTTTTACGGGGAGCGCCACTGGGCCCCCAGTTCAGAGGGCTCTGGGATGGCCTCTCAGTTTCTCCCGGGCAAGGGGATGGAGGGGTGCTAGGGCCGCATCCGAATGTGCGTTGGTGGGTGTGTGGTCGGAGCCGACGTGCATTCCGACACACGTGCTCGCAGCGCGGGGTGTAGTCGCCGCCTCACGGGGACACCGAGACGCCCGTCCCTGGCGAGAGGTGTCGTACGCTGTGGGTTTCAGGAGCGCCAGGGTCTGCGGCGGTGGGGGAAGGGTGTTGTGTTTTGCGAGCGCGGAGCCCTGGCCTTGGTTTTGTTGTGGCCGGCGTCGTGTCGCCCTCCCTTCTGCCGCCCCGCACTTCCTTTGTACGCAGTTAATAAGCAGTATTGTTCCATACTCGCTATGTTTTGCAACCTGATAGCTTTTGTTTTGGTGGTGTCGGGTGGGGGTAGGTAGGGAAGCGCGGGGATGCAGGGAGTGGGAACTCCCCCCAGTGTGTACAGCCACAGGAGATGGGGGGTTTATTCTCAAAAAATTGAAAGTGTGGCTTACTGGTACATTCAAGATAGTAGGGTAATTTGAACACGATTAAAAGTTTAAATGTCGCAGAACTGGGACCGGGAACGGTGAGGGCGTGTTGGTGAGTAATGGTAGCCGAGGGTATGCAGGTGGTGCCGATTAACTTCGAAAAAAATCACGACTGAGCGTTCAAGAGTGAGAGGGAGAAGTAGGAGGCAGCGGAGGTTGTCTGGCCCCATCACTGGGGCAATTCAGAAAGGCTGTTTCTATAAACAAATCCTTAAACGTCTCTTAAGAAATGAGTGCGCGACAGAACGAGAGCAGATCGTGGTTCGCGTGTTTACTGCCGAGTGGGACGCGGACTGGGGCCGGACCTTGCACAGATCTGGGCTCTCATGCTCTTTGTTTTCTAAACTTTAAGCGGACTCGATTGGGCGAAAGCCTTCCGGCTCCCTTTACTAAGTCGTTTAGGTGGTGTTTGAGGGGGACAAAGGAGGGTTTTTTATCTTTAAATGATAAGTACGGTTTAGAAGACACGGGAGAAATAATCCATTTTATTATGGTGTGCAGTTAAACTGTAGAGCTTCTCTAGTTTTGTGTTTTTAATGTTCTGAAATTCAAAATAGCAGGGATGGCCTTCTCCGACGCAGGAGTCGGGCATTTTAAAATAGGCTGTTTTTCTTTTGGAGTGTTTTTCTTGAAGGATATTCTTTGTGCGAGACGACGGTTTTTGAGAACACAGACAGGAGGGGAGGGGGTGTTTTAATGTATGTTTTTACTCCATGATGCCAAAGCTTCCCCCAAGGATCCCTTTACAAGTGGTTAGTTCCTTGAAACCTCATGGGTGGTCAGAAGACACCCCAAATCTCGATTATGGTTTGTTGAAGTCTTGACTGACTCAGTACCTGCCCCTCCCTCCATCTCTGAAATGTGGAGGATTAAAAGCTATGCCTGTGAACGGGCGTTCAGTTTTTAGCCGGGAAGGTGCTAGACCACTTAACTCTGGTAGAAATAAGGTGCTGAGCCGTGTCAGGGAGGGCATTCTTTCAGCTGTTGTCTGGTATAGAAATAAAGGCAGGGTGTTGTTGGTTCAGTTGCAGGTATTTTGCTGGCGTATTGAAACATTAGAGTTTTCTCTTTTAGTGTGATGGCAGTAGAAAGAGTGCTGTTTATCTTAGAAAACTTAGTTTCTGAAGCAAAGGCAGTCATATGGATGTGTTTGTTTTGTATCACCATAATGTGAACCAAAGCATCTAAATGAAGGAGGTTCGGAGGTTCTGAGTGATAGCCAGATAATCTGATGGCTATTTTCTTTCTAAAAAGTCAGCATGCACTTTAAATTTATTGTACCCATCTCCTTAAAAGGATTCAGTCATCTTTCTACCCCAGGCATCCTATTGTCAGAGAAATGTAGGTATGTGAAATGTTGGTGTTTAAAGAAGTTAGTGTTTATTACCAGATGAAGAACCCAGAAAAAGAACGTTTGAAAGAACCTAAACAGCAAATTATAGTTTAGATTCTCTAGAAAGACATAGCGAGTAGATGGTATTTTGTGGAAGGGTGGGGTTTGTGTCAGGATTTAAAATTTAAAAGGTCATATGTTTGATTTGTCGAAAAGATTAGAAAAGTCCAACTCTAAGAAATATGTTAAGGTTGAATAGATGAAGCTTAAAAATATCACAAAAAGTGAAAGAAGTCAGTCACAAAAGACCACATATTATATGATCCGGTTTATGTGAAATGTCCAGAATAAGCAAATCCATAGAGGCAGAAAGGAGATGAGTGGTTGCCAGGGGCTGGGGGTCGATGGAATGGGGAGTGACTGCTGCTAGTGGGCACAGGGTTTCTTTTTGGGGTGATGAAAATTGTTCTAAAATTAGTTTGTGGTGATGGCTGCATAGCTCTGAATATACTTAAAACCATTGGATTATATATATACTTTAAATCGGGGACTTTAATGGTATGTGAATTACATCTCAATAAACCCGTTTTGGTTTTTTTAGAGAAATGTGCTCAGGTTGAAAATAACTTGTTATGCTACCTTAAATTACATTAAAGTTATTACATACATTTGGCAGGCTGATGTCTCTCTCTCTCTCTTTTCATTTATGAGTTTTTCAGATCTGTGAGTTGCAGCAATACAACAAACTGATAATTGAAGCTTAGCAACTGGGATTCAATCCCCTAGTAGAAATGGGCAAGCAAGAAAAAAAGAATCTTGGTTCTATGTAGCTTCAGTTAGGGATTGAGGAGCTGGATTGAAAAAACACAAATACTGGTGGAAGGCAGATTTTTGACAATAGAAACCTCAACTGAATCTGAAATGATGGTTTTTTCCAAGATAGAGCTTAGTCTGAATGGCTGTTTGTATTTCCAGTTTTATTATGTTTTCCAACAAAGAAATGCTGTTTTAAGATGTTTTAAACGCTCATTTTTTGATATGCCATATTGACCACAAGTGGTTGTAAGGACTGAGGATGAACAGTTCATTTTAATGCAGTATTGTTGTTTTCTTTTCTTTGTAGTTTTATTTTATTTCTTACATAGTTCCAGGGTCTGAGCAGGAGAAAGAAACTTTAGGATGCAGTAGTTTTAAGATACAGTGTTTCAGATATACAGTGATTCTTATAAAATTAAAATTCCTTACGGAACAAAAGATTTTAAAATGTGGCAAAGGCATTTTTGTTTTGAAACTGTGTGCATTTATCCAAATTTACCCTGGCCTTTCAATAGGAAAAGACCTAGAGAATAATTGTTGTTTACATTTGCTTTTCATCTTTGTCTAAGGCTTAGTTTACTAATAAAAATGTTTCCTGCCCTTCCTATTGTTGCAAGATCAGGACAGTAATGAAAATCAACTGTATCATTTTCACTTGTTGCCTTAGAGTTTTTGCCAAGAGGAACCCTCAAGGGACGGTGGTTTCCTTTTAAATCTGGTTTCATTTGTTTCGTAAGAATGTGCTGTAAGAAGCAACTGAATCCAGCCAGCACTTATTGTGCACCTACTGTATGAAAGCTGACCTTGTGCTACTCAGTGCATGAGCCTGCAAAGTCTTGCATGAAACCAACTTTCTTGAAATTCAGATTTTTTTTTTTCAGATTCAGTATAGGATGCAGTTTTCAAGTAGACAGTAGGCAGCATTTTGAAGGTTCTTTTAAAAATATTTCTGTAGACTCAAGACTCTAGTGTTGTTCATCCAGAAGCCTCTACCGTACCGTTTTTGCCTCATTGGTGCTTTCCATTATATGGGGATGCCACTGTAGACCATGACATATAGGTGATGTTAACCCATCTTGACTGCCTTTTTTATAACATTGGATATGGCAATGTGATTTAAAAAGTGCAGTATTGTAGTTGCCTTTTTCCAAAAATTAGGAGTCACAGGTGTGTACATGAATGTTGCATGGCATGTTTTGAGTTGTAAGAAAGATGGGACTTACGTCTGAAGTTTTCTGGATTACATATTGCTTAGCTAGCTTTCTAGAAATCATCGGCATTCATAATTTCAGGGCATTTTATAATTTATAAATAACTTGGTGTTTTTAAAAGCGTGAGGGAGTAAGAATGAGGAGACAAATCCTGAAAGCTTTTGTTTTTTAGTTGTAAAGCATACAAGATGTATTTCTTTCTAGGTTGTGATTTTCTCCAATTTGTTTTCAAAACTCATTTAAAAATCAAACCTAGTTCATGGAAGAGGTATTTGCGCCTGTGGGCGAACTTGCTTTGAACTGCTTTTCTTAGCCAACTTATGACAGGTGCTGAGCCCAGGAGATGAGCTCTTCTCAATTGTACTAAATATATAATAGTTGCACACATGCTAGGGATATAGTTTCTTGATTTCAGTCTCTGAGATGTTCTGAAGGAAAATTCTGAACACTTTAAAGACAACGAAGTTCCTAATGAATGATGCACTCTGATCCCTCCTGGAAAATGGTGTTTGGCATCAGCTTAGCAAGAGGAAGTTTTCCAGTTGTTTGTAAAGATGTGATGTGGCTTTAAGTGGGGAAGG